CCTGAGCGATAACGCAGTCGCTACTTGATTTCTGAACCTTAATGGTTTTGATAGGCACTCCATGGTTATGTACCATGTCTTGATAGTCCTCAATTATACAGGACTGGTTAGAAACTGAACGTATCCTGCTGTTAGTCAACAGCATAGGGTGAAAGTACCTCTGGTATGTGATTTGATGATCAAGTCCAGCTTGAATGGATCTGTCAAGAAGCTTAGAGAAAACAAGAGGTAAGAAAAGAAAACTGCCGTTGCGAAACTGTCGGTTGAAGAAACGCTACAAACTATGGCAAGCAATTCAAGGAAAGAAAGCAATCGCTGGGGGAGTGTAAAAGATTGTGAATCCTTTATTACCCAAACTTCAACATTTATCCATTTTTGCGCTACACCATATTCCAACTCGCTGCGCTCTACACGAGACCTAAAATTTATATGCTTTTCCTCTTTTTCTATTTCTGTTTAACTGCATTACCGCCCTTTATAATTGTTGATTTTATATTCTGACTTTGATGCGCTAGTTAAATCGACGTCGTGTCACTCTAGTCGTGAGTACCTATTTTATATATGTTTGATACTGTAATTATTTATAGAACCACGTTCACTATTATTACTGCTGCCCAAAGCCGTTTTTTCTGCCCGGACCGTGCGTTTAGTCTAGATTCACAGGATCGCTGTTTACTGCTAGCTGTCGTCGTTAGACTTAGCTCATTTGTCCTATCTTACGCGTCGTTTTTCTGCAGTTAGCTGTGTATTGTTCACAGAGTCCTTAAGCGCAATTCAAATTTCGTCCTAAGTTATATCTGTTATCGTTCCTGTAACAGCTCTCCTTTGACTCTTCCATTTCTACCGGAGTCCCGCAAGGTTCAGTCCTTGATCGCTTCCTCTTGCTTTTATATAATAATGACCTGCCACACAGGATCGAAGTCAAAGTAGCAATGTACACCGATGACATGACAATTTGAGGCACCGACCCGGTGGCTGTTCAGTCAGCAATGGATGCAGTAAAAGACTGGTCTACTGCCTGAAACCTACCAATAAACAATGACAAATGCGTTAGTATATCCTTTGGAAGGGTTCCCTTACATAGCTTCAGGGCTAACGCTTCCATGACTATGGAGAGTGTAGAACACCACAAGGTTCTTGGTTTCTGGCTGGCCAGGTCACTTGCTTTCTGTTACCACCAACAAAAAGCCAGTAGATCCGCCTTTTATATTCGTCTTGAAGTCTTGAAGTAGTACTCGGGTTCTAGGCTTACACCCAATATTCCCGGTTCCGGATTTGTTTTTTCTGCAGTTCGGTTCACGAGCTGAAAGGGATGTTGACGGAAACGGGAGCTGGCTCCAATATGTTGCCGCTGGGTTAGGGGTGCATGCATCGGGAAAAGAAATCTAGAGGAGAGCGAGAATGTTGGAGGAGTAGTAACAGGGATAAGCGGGATAACGTGGAGGGTTCCTTAAGAAGATGGAGGCCAATTAGATCAGGGGATGGTAAGCCCTAGGTGTGAGTCCAGCAGGGTTTTCAAGACCCTTTTGGAGGAGGAGTTCACAATCTCTAGTGGAAGTTGGTTCCATTCTGAGATGACCCTGTACGTGAAGAAGCTGAAGAGGATGAAGGTTCAGGGCCGGTGTTTGAAGAGTTTTCTTGGGTGTCCCCTTAAGTGTTCCAGGCTAGAGCGTGTGAAGAAACGGTCAACTTGGCATGACGTGAAGAGGTCACATAAGAGGGAGAGATCCCCTCTGATACGTGGTATATCCAGAGGGTATAAATTTAGCTGTTGTAGTCGGGTAGGTTAAGGGAGTTCTGACAAGCCATGTACTAGTTTTGTGGCCCTTCGTTGCACACGCTCTAGTGAATCGCGGTCGCGAATGAGACCAGAATGTGCAATTTGGCTGCCATATTCTAACAGTGGGCGTATGTATGTTCCGTTGATGAAAGGGAAGTCCTC